CATGATCGCAATGCATGCCGGGAAGGGTCTTTACACCTCGTGCGCGGGAAAACATGGCGGTCGATACAAGACAAATTTTATCACTCTAAAACCAGTTCTGCAAAATTTTCATAAACAAAATTGATTGTAACCCATGAGTTTCTAGAACCACCCTTCACAGGAACCTTACATTAGAAATGGAAAGAATGGTTACACAGGAATTTCTAACACAGGAATGTAGCAATAGCCAACATATACCTTGTGTCCACATGACACAAGGCAAAAAAAGCTAAACAAGAATAGCCCAGAGAGCTTTTGACTGGGTGGTTTTGTCTTTCTGGCAAAAAAAAAAAAGGGCACTTCAGGAGAACAGTACCAAGTAATGCATGATCCACAACCTCAGAAGCACATGCTGTGGTTTTTCCCTATCAATGACATAATACGTACCAGTTATGGCATATGTTTGGGATAAAATACGCTGATCAGCAAAATTAATAGCATTACCTCTAACTCACTCTCGCTGGGATTGATGGAAACTTCAAACTTCATGTCTTTATACACTGGGAGCACAGAAGCATCTGAAATGTCATAACAAAGTCAGCAAACATTCTATGTCATTCAATTTAAATCTGCCAATTTCCCTAAGTGGCCAGTCCCCTATGGTGAAGCTGGGAATAGTTGAAAGGCTTGGTGGAAAAAGGGTGTTAGGAATTTTGGTCAAAAGTGAACTTTGTCAAAAACACTCCAAATTTTGTGTGCGGTTTTGTTTAGGTGTGTTGAAACAATGTCCTGTATTATTTTCCACTGGGTTTTGCTTCGTTTTTGAGATATGTCATATGTAAAAAGACACTCATTTGTGACATACCAATAGNTACCACAACACTGCAAGAAATCATGCATGCCTGCAAATCACAAAAGAACACAATGATACAAGGCCTGCCTTCACTCCCTTTCACTTCATTCCTGTTCCTGTGAAAACTCGCTAGTACAACAACTGAACCTTTCTTTAGACATCATCTTTGCAGCAGATCTCTAATGTTTGAAAGCCATCGATAGCAAATTTGTTCGAAATGAACAGGAACAAAAAGTTATAAACATGGATGCATTCATCGCTTTGAAGTTGGGCCGGAGTCTCCCAACAAATTGTTAATCGCTAACATAGTGCCTTTCTGACTTCGTCTTTTGGAAACATATGACATTGCCTTCCATGTATAATTATGGTGTTTTTGCAGCTCACCAAACCAGGTCCTCTGTTAACAAAAAGCTTCCCACTTCTTCCCTTGGTACTCTCAGCCAAGGTTTTACACACCGTATGAGGTCAACGGCCTTAATTTGTATATTTTGACCATGCGCAGAATGTTGCACATTTTCGACTCAAATTGGCCAACTTTTAAGCAGGAAAAAAAATCGCGTGCTTGTCCAAAGCCCAAAGTCTAAAACTATGAATCAGAGGTACATAGACTTCAATACTTTAGGATAAAAAAGAGGGCAAAAATTTCATTTCATAGGCACTGTAAAGTCTGGGTCAAAATGTTAATAACAGTTCCAACATTTGTCAGGACACAATTTCTGAACAGTTTGACCAATCATTTTGACCAAAAGTTAGATTCCACTCAAACTTTGGTCCATGATCTTCCAAAACTACATTTACATTGTAGGACATTTCAACATGTTGCATTTACTCAATCAGTTGAACAACACATTACACTTAAGGTACATTCATACAATTTACATCTTTTAGGCACTCCGTTAAACCCCACCAGATACATTTTCCTCTTACTATACCTTAATCTAAGACTATTCCATAGGGGTTGGAGAGAAAAGGAGCAACATTACCTGTCTTATTGCTCTCTTGACTTTTCACTTTTTGTTCCACTTCTTCCATTCGAGATTTTAAGCTTTCGCAGACAGAGTGAAGATTCTTCAGAACCTCTTCATGATCACTCAACTGTTGATCCTGAGCTTCCAGTCTGGCCCTTTTGGATGATTGCTGATCTTGTATCTCAACTAATGAATCCTGAGTAGCAGAATACTGCTTCTGAATGTTCTGGAAATCTGCAAGAAGTGCACTTAAACCATGCTGAACCATTTGGAGAAGACTTTGATCTATGCATTCTCCTGTACAAAGCGCTAAGGAAAAACCGAAACAATTTTATCACATTAGTCAAACTATTAAAACAGATTGAGAAGATAAAGGAAGCCTGGGGTGCATTCTGTAAGCTTTTTGTCCTTTAAGGAAGCATTCATCACTACAGCATTTGCAACAAAATTTGCCTTTAGTTATATATTTATATGCAAACACATTGATCACCAAAATGCAGGGTTCATGGCCTGGAGGAGTACTGTGCCACCTGATTACAATGACAGAACATACAGGAATTATAATGAATGTACACATACTGCCATTGAGTAGACAGGATATTCTCAGCACATTTATCAGCACTAAAGAGCTCAAATTTCTAAACAGGAAGGAAGTAACTTAGCTATAATTGACAACTTCGTCAATAACTGGCATCTACACGCATCTACATGCATTGGCAACTTTCGTATCTTATAAACTATATAACGCAATCGTTGCTGACATCACTGTTTACATCTTTCTATTAACATGTTACTTTGTGCAGAGCTCAAGGGCATCATAGTAGATACAAAAAATTGACTTCAAACATTCAGAGCTTGAGAAATGCAGTATATAATTGGTGAAATGTTTGGCTCTTTGACTGTAATATTCATGAAGAAACTGACTTTCAAAAACTGCAAAATTTACCCATACATTTTTTGCAAAATCTCGAAGTGTTAAAACCTGCACAACATAAAAGAGTATTCAATGCATCAGCCTTTCAATATTCAAAGCTAATATTTGTGTACATGTAGCTCAATCAGAANATTTTAAGGGCAACCATGCAGTCATCTGGGCAACAAGAGCCGGGGGTTAGGTTGTCCTGCATTTGGAATAGGGACAACTTGGATAATTTTTCAATTTCGAGCACTGTTTTGGCTACTGTGAATCCTTCTCCCAGTCTCACCACATCCTGCCAAAACTGTGTTCATGTGCTCTTTATCCTGTTAGAGTTCAAAGCCTTTAGGTGTCAATCAGTTACCTATACATGAATAATTACATGACATTTAAAATGTGTTTACCTTTTGTTTTGTACTCATCTAGTTCATCTAAAGTGGTCTTCCCTCCATCCTTAAGACCTAAACTGCTGACTAACTTTCTTAACTTGTCAAAACAGTCACTGAAAAAGGTCTCAGTCCACTTAGTGCTGTCATAGTGGCCCCACTCGTTCCGCACATTCTCTCTGACATCATCAGCAAGACGTTGAATCAGTGCCGAATGGGAGGGTGAAGCATGAGGGACTTTCGTAAGCAAAGAAACTTTACTTCCCAGCAGCACCAGAATGGCACTTGTGTCCAGGGATTCATCAAAGCCAGATATGCATTTGGCTACATTTGGTGTTAAATACAATTTGGCTAGATCTAATGGACTGTAAATATGATAGTTGTAACTTTTTTTGTTAGGCTTCGAGAAATTGCCGTTTATATTTCGAAAACTTAATGATTTGAGCTCTGGATCAGAGGAAACCTGATTCAATTGCAATGTCTTTAAGTTAAAAGTATTGTCATAATGATTGTATAGCTTTGTAACTTCTTGTTCTACAAAACATCGTAAGACAGGAGCAACTGTCTTGTGTAAAACAATTCCAACCACCAACCATCCTTTTTGTTCTTTGGAAAATGACATTTTCACCAATCTGTCAAAAGGAGAACAGGAGATATAAAATTTAATTGATCAAAAGGCCCTCAATACAAACATGCATACTTCTTTTAAAGACTCTATGTCGACCAGCATGCATTGTGTGCATTGCCCAACGTTTCATGGGCTACAAAACCTACAATTTGTTGTTATCAATCATTTCACTCTTCAATCCTTTAAAATCCGAAGCATCCAACTGGATTACAGGGTTC